CATGCTTGACATTCATTCTGAATTTAACCTAATTAGATAGTTTGTATTTCTTTATCAGAAATATAGTAGCACGATGCCTTGCCGCGTTTTGATGTCAAATTCCTAACACAGTTTTACATCAGATATTAGCATTTTGAATAAGACCTAGACGAATTTTAGTTATAACAAATGAACAGGTCGTCTTGGCAACGCATTAACACGACACCAAAATTTGACGAGATTCCTGAGAAATTCATATTCTCAGAGAAATCCGTTAAAATAGTTAGAAGAATATGAGAGGTAGGGGAATTTGAGGTATCACATTTATATTCTTGCATTTTTTCCAGTCTTTGTCTCAACTTTTCGAACGAGATATCCTCATATAATGGCGATTGAACTTCACTTATGGTAGCTTCGTTTGATCCTATAATTATATTTCTTCCGCCTCGTTCTCGGTGTTATCAATGAGATTGATGGATGAATTTAGTGATGGAGCAATTCTAAATGAGTACCTTCATTTAGCTGTGTTGGTATTTCTCCCGAGAAGCAATCAACTTAAATGACGAATCCGGCAATCTGAGGCTAATTTTACTGCTAAGCGTTCTTTGGAGCTTGCAACCCATTTTGACTGGAGTATTTTCTTAATAATTTCTCTCTTTCTCCCTTTCGAATAACATTCAAAACCAACATTTACCTATTTTGTTTCCATACAGCTCTAACCTCCGGACGTCCAGTCACATGTTAATTGTCATCTTTTATGTCTGTAGATGCCCTCTGCTTCTGAATCCTTGGGTAACATTAGGAGATTTCAGGATTCAACATTGAGCCCCTGTCTAACATACAACATCCTTTACTATAATCAGGAAAAAAATTCCTACCCAGGCATTAGGCGCCTTGAGCGTCCACATGAACATAAGAAGAAAATCTTCTCTTCGTGGTGTACAGACGCTGTGGTAGCGTCCGTGTATTCCCTTGTCTTAGATGGACACAGAAAGAAATATAAACTACTTATTCTACAAAATCTGGCAAAGGACTGTGAATTTTCTGCTCATTCTGCAGTTTCTATAGTTATACATAATACGACTTTCCTTACTAATGCAGCTGGTGTAGTCATCTGTTTTACGGAATGAGCTCACGAGTATACGAATAATGAATATGTAAGTAATTGGCTAACCTTGCTTCTTACAATTTATTTTAGGACCACGAAATAAATAGTTGATTATTACAGTAAACAAACACGAACTATTGTTCTTAAATTACGGGTTCAGTTATACGTGCATTTGATATATGGTACTATTGTGACACCTCGAAATACTCGATAAGCCTTGATAAAATTAACAAAAGTTGGAAATGATTAGGCCCTGAAAATTTAGCAATATCTGAGCTATTTATTTGTAAACTTCTATGTGTAACACAAATATCATTAATCTGCATTCGTTACAAAATTGCTTTAACTTTACCTTATTAATCGAATTACCTTATTTACCTTATAAACCTTATTAGCGAGGTTCCACGCTTCGTGGAATTTATATTCAATTGGTGAAGGTACGAGGTGCGTACAAAAAGGTTTCCACCTTGTCTCACTCGGTCGACTAAGAAGATGTTGGTTTTTGAAATAGGATATTTTGATCGAGAACTAATCTGGAGACTGGGGCGAGCAGCGTGACTCCTACATATCCGCCAACATACAGAACGGAATGTGGTGAGTTTTGCCAGGAATTGTCTTGCAATATATTGTCTCGTGGAGTATTGTCTTGCGATGGCGAAACTGGAGATCTGTTAAACTGGAAAAACCCGCGGATATCGATGACTTTTGAATTTGTTGTCGAGAGCATGATCCCGAACATCTTGCTCCTGTACATGTAAGTTTCAGTCGGTCATAGTTTCCGAAACTTGCTAAAAACTATCAATACCACCACAGTGAACTTTGTCCATAATTGTGCTTCCGTAACAGCCTACGCAATAGTATCGGTTACCGTATCCCTGGTAGCGGGGGGATATAGTGAGTCGTCGAAACCAAGCTCTTGTCTCTTGATTATGGCACATTCCAATGTAAACGAGATTTGGGTAACCTATAGTAAAATCTGTACACAACTACATATGCGATACTGTTACAAATGTCTGTTATGTAAATTTATGTATTATAAACATTCATGTAAAGAAGGACACACGTAACCATTTTCGACGATTCCGAAATGTGTTTTTGTGTTGTTATGTTGGAAATATTCACAAAAAATGTCAATTACATTAGGATTCCATTACCTCTCATTCTAGCACGCAGGTAGCCAAATTTTTGTATAGGCCACCCAAACTGAAATCAATGATATTATTCATGTTTAATATAATTATGCGAAAAAGACACATTCATGGGTCTCAATTCAATTGAACTTCAACTTAAAAACACACCATGTATGTTTTTCATTAGGTTACATGTGGAAACAGACAAATAAAATGTAGTGCAACTTTGCGCATATTTATAGATTTATTGAAAATTGTTTCAGGTGATCAGTACCGGTCTCACACTACGTTAGCCCAGTTCTTATATAATTCATATTCACTTTTATCTCTGCGTTATCAAAAATGACTATCTCTCTGGTCAATGTCGTATGCAAAACAACATATGCAGAACTATGTCGAAACACGGCCATCTATTCCTTGTTCAGGTGCAATGGTAAAGTAGTTTGATCACTATTCGAACTCGCACGTTTATTATTTTTATTCCTATCTGCACTGTTAAAAGTATATTATAGTCATTGATATTGCTTCAAATAGGGTGCGCTCTTCCCACTACCCCATAAGTCTATTTGAATGTTAATAGTGCAAATGATTAGTCGTAGTTTGCTAAGTAATTTTTTTGAAAATTATTCTGTAGATAGAACGAAATAATTGTATTTCCAGAGATATACGTTTACAAAGTAGCCATAAGTACCTCGATTATATAATTATGTCGTTTTTCCTATCGCCCAATAATTGCTTAGCATTCAATACATAAGCGATCCCCAACCAGAAGCATTTGTCGTCTTGCATTGCGTCGCATCGGAACTCTCTCCTACGCTTGGTGTTTAATTTACGTATGTATTGCACAAAGTTCTGTATTTTCGCTAATATTTCGCCATCTCATTACCTCTGATCTACTTTTTAAGAAATAATATCTACATCTATGCTGTAAGTTTATTGTCGTCTTAGTCATTTATCGACCATGTATGTCAGTGACACCGCAATTTCAAATAACTTTTAATTCAATATTCACAAAAAATGTCAATTACATTAGGATTCCATTACCTCTCATTCTAGCACGCAGATGGCCAAATTTTTGTATAGTACTATTCATCTTTAATGTAATTATGCGAAAAAAGACACATTCATGGGTTATTGGTTGGGTTATATTCTTATCTTGTGTTTGTGAGATGGCCGGTAACGCTAGCATAGCTATTGTAAATTGGAATTTCATGCGATTATATTAGTACATTCTCAATTCAATTGAACTTCAACTTAAAAACACACCATGAATGTTTTTCATTAGGTCACATGTGCAAACAGGCAAATAAAATGTAGTGCAACTTTGCACATATTTATAGATTTATTGAAAATTGTTTCAAGTGATCAGTACCCGTCTCACACTACGTTAGCCCAGTTCTTATATAATTCATATCCACTTTTATCTCTGCGTTGTCAAAAATGACTATCTCTCTCGTGAATGTCATATGCAAAATAACATATGCAGAACTATGTCGAAACACGGCCATCTATTCCTTGTTCAGGTGCAATGGTAAAGTAGTTTGATCACTATTCGACCTCGCACGTTTATTATTTTTATTCCTATCTGCACTGTTAAAAGTATATTATAGTCACTGATATTGCTTCAAATAGGGTGCGCTCTTTTCCACCACCCTATAAGTCTATTTGAGTGTTAATAGTGCAAATGATTTGTCGTAGTTTGCTAAGTACTTTTTTCGAAAATTGGTCTGTAGATACAACGAAATAATTGTAATTCCAGAGATACATATTTACAAATTTGCCATAAGTATTCAAATCTTGAGAAAAATTTCTCATACGTCGATTATATAATTATGTCGTTTTTCCTATCGCCCAATAATTGCTTAGCATTCAATACATAAGCGATCCCCAACCAGAAGCATTTGTCGTCTTGCATTGCGTCGCATCGGAACTCTCTCCTACGTTTGGTGTTTAATTTACATATGTATTGCACAAAGTTCTGTATTTTCGCTAATATTTCGCCATCTTATTACCTCTGATCTACTTTTTAAGAAATAATATCTAGATCTATGCTGTAAGTTTATTGTCGTCTTATTCATTTATCGACCATGTATGTCAGTGACACCGCAATTTCAAATAACTTTTAATTCTCTTATCATCTGCACACACAAAAAAATGTGATTATTCAGAGATGGATAAACCTCAAAAAATTTCTCTCATAATTATAACCACCGCATTGAAAATCAAGTAAAGTGCAACAGTCGATGTAGCGATCTATCCATCAAAGATTATTTCATGATACCTTCTTTAGTCTAGCACAATCTACAAACCGCCGCCTTTTCTATTTTACTTGCACGACATCGAAAATAGTTGCCTTTCACATCAGCGAGTTAAGTATAAGTTGCTACATTTAAGCCTACTTCAAGATGATGAGGTATCATCACATATAGATTTAAATGAAGTATTTTGCGAATATAGTGAAATAAAAGGCTGTGCAGCATCGCGGCGATTGCAGGTATATGAAAAAGGTTCTTCAGAATGTTAACCTCATCAACATGTTACACTGGCAATTAAAATCGTTGCGATACACTCACTAAAAAGATATATATTAGTTACGCTAGATTCTATTCGATTAAAGTAGGTTTAAGAATGAAAGCACCAAAGACCCTTAGGGACCGAAAGAAAAGATGATAGCAATATACATTTAGTAACAATTCTCTTCTACTTATATCGCTAATAAGATGTGTGTTAAGGTATCGAACATTGATGTTACAGATTGATAAAGGAATTCGGAGAAGTGTAAAATGGATGTCAATCACATCATTCTCGAAGGGATGAAAACGCATTCGGTGCTATCGATACTCTTAGGCATGTCGCTATATACCGTCTATTCGATTGTTCCATACTCTTCATACAATATTTCTAGCAAATCATTACTGCCGACTTACGATTTCACAATCGTAGGCGGTGGTTCGGCAGGTATGTCTTATCACGATGCCGATGCAAAGTTCCGTTAAAAATCTGATAAAAGTGTAACTAAAACAGCCGCAGCTGCGTATGTGCGTGCAAGTAAGAAAGCATTGTTACTTGTATGATAGCGTAACGCCAAAAATGTTACATACTTCCTATATATCGATTTTTTCCAAACTTCATTTTCCGACTCTATCTATTTATCGTAGGTATTAGTGATCATATACGCTATTTATATACATTAATGAAGAAATTTTAATATCTTATTCCATTCATATAAGTATGCTATGAGATCATTATGTAAACATATTGTGAATTTACCGCGAAGTATTATTTCTAATTTCGACAATTTTACTCCCAATCTCGATGTGTTGATGAAAAACTACAAATTCCTGATTTGAAAATATTTGTAACGTTTAAGAAAAAACTTTCTTAGTCATGTTTTATTAAAATACTCTGTGAATTTACACCATTACAGGAACCGTTATGGCGAATCGCTTGTCCGAGGTAGAAGATTGGGACGTACTCCTGCTGGAAGCAGGTGCCGATGGAAGTGCTATGTATGATGTTCCTACTCTTGCCACCAATTTGCAACGATCTGAAATCGATTGGAATTACACGACGGAACCGAATGAAAATTACTGTCTCGGTAAATAACATTGAATAATACCTAACTATAATAATGATAGGTACTTAATTACAATAATAATACCAGACACTCTAATCATTCATGTCCAACGCACTATTTTTTCCATTGAAAAAAAAAGGAATTTGAGAAAAGACAGATAAAATATTATCATGCTTAGAAGAGAATATAAAGTAGTACCTATGGCAATGAGAATAAATGAAGCGAGTAAATATTAAGTAAAGCATTCTAAAATCTGTGTGCATCATAATCTTGCAATTGTAATAAATACTAGCACTAAAAAGAGCACTAAAAAAACGTGAAAATATCGGACCAAAATTATGTTTCTAATGCAATAAACAGATATTTCAGGCGCCATTAATACTGAACAAAGTTTACATTAATATATAATTATATAGATCTATTTATTTTAAGTAATGACACTTGATTTGTATATAGAACTTTATACTTTATTTATATATACCGATTTATACATAAAACAGTCAGATATATTTGCACAGTTTTAGTGTTAACATAAATCGAAAAATGAATCCATCGTCCATTCCAAAGAGAAGTTAACGTGAATCAGTGACCTTCTATAATCAATATTTGATTACGAACTACTCGCAATGCTTTCAAAGTTCTTTACTGTACATTATGTGAACAGCGATGGAAGGCGGTCAGTGCCGCTGGCCACGTGGCAAAGTACTCGGAGGCAGCAGTGGCATAAATTACATGCTTTACGTCCGTGGTGCCAAAAAAGATTACGACATCTGGGAACAGCAAGGCAATCCAGGATGGTCGTATCAGGATGTGCTGCCTTATTTCCTAAAATCTGAAGACAATCGAAATCACAGCTACGCCAAAACACCGTATCATTCAACCGGCGGGTACTTAACCGTCGAAAAACCACGATGGCACACTCCTCTGGCCGCTGCGTTCATTCAAGCCGGCAAAGAAATGGGTTACGAGAATCGAGATATTAACGGAGAACGGCATACTGGCTTTATGATTCCTCAAGGCACCATCAGAGATGGTAGCCGCTGCTCCACGGCGAAAGCCTTCTTGCGGCCAGCCAGGATGCGGAAAAATTTACACGTCGCCATGGAAGCGTATGTTACCAAAATTTTAATAGATCCGTCAACGAAAAGGGCTTACGGCGTAGAGTTCATTAGAGACGGGGAAACGTTGCGCGTACATGCCAACAAAGAAGTGATCGTTTCCGGTGGAGCTATTAATAGCCCCCAGTTGTTGATGCTGTCAGGAATAGGACCTAGAGAACACTTATCGGAACACGGTATACCAGTGATTCAGGATTTAAGAGTGGGCCACAATCTTCAAGACCATATAAGTGCGGGGG